TGTGTGTGTGTGTGTGTGTGTGTGTGTGTGTGTGTGTGTGTGTGTGTGTGTGAAAGAGAGAAATCATTTTTGTAGTCAATACAAGTAAGACGGTTAGAAGACTTTGTGATGGCTTGTCAGATGTATTGTCAGATGTATTTTGGAGAGAAGAAGCCTGCTGTTCTTTGATAGCTGGAAGACAAAAGAGCTCATCTGTAGTTGACACTGTGCTGGGTGCACATATTAAAATGCATCAGTGACTCAACATAGCACCAAATAAAAGCAGGTTTTTTTTATTAATGTGAAACCACCTAATCCCAGAATTGTATCTCTGAAGGAACATAGAACAAAGTGGATCTGCTGCTTCTATACAGTGCTTTCCAGTAAGAGCTACCAAGCAGCTGCCTTCTCCTCCTAGCAGCCATTCAATTTTATACCTCCCACCACAGGGAATAGTTAACCTTATAAGGGCTTTGGTGGTGCTACACTTGTACAAGTAGTACCATGTCAGTATAGCTGAGGCCACCCCCAGCTGAGTGACTGTAACCCCCACAAACTCTGCCACAGAAAAGAAGAGGATTATCTGTTTGCTGGCTGATTTGGTTCAGAGCTTTATTGGTATATTCATGCTTTTTACCAATGAAGTCACAGGTCAGAGTAAACATGAGATGCTTTCAAACAGAGCAGAATAACTGGTGTGACTTATGAAGTCACGAGATAAATCCGATGGATCCCCAGACTGTTAAATGATTCATGCTTTAGATGTTTTTTTATATTTTTTGCATGCTTTGTGTGAATCACTGGATATCTCAACTCTACTGCAACTCAACTATTCAAATAATTTAACTTGGTCAATCAGTGGTTTCCAGTCGTTCGTTGGGACCCATCATGAAGTCTCAATTATACAAACGTAAAAATTTCAGTGGTTTTACTTATGAGTTACTGCATATTAGGCATCATTTGTGCCATTTCATTTTCAAGGGGTCACTAATGCACTCCTCAAAAATAATAAAGGGAACTCTTGATCATCACAATATAACATGAAATCAGTTAAACTTCATAAATCTGACCAGTCAGAAAGCATTTCACCTGCTTTAGTGCAGCTGAACGCGACAACAGGTGCACTGTTGTGGTCTCTTTTTATCCTTCCTGACCTCCTTTCTGTACTTCGGCTTCTTGCTGGTGTCCTTGTCAAATTCTTTTAGCACCAGATGATGTCTGCTGCTCATTGAGATTGCACATGTAGTTCAGCTCCAGCACGTATTCATACGTGGTTTTATGAGAAGGTTTGCTGTGTCTCTCAGCACAGTCTCCAGAGTGACTGGGCGAAATGAGGAGTACTGAACGCAGCTGTG